AATAGCCAAAGTAATACTAAAGAATAAAACCAAAATGGGAGGTATCACCATCCCAGACTACAAAGCTGTCATCATCAAGACAGTATGGTATTGGCACAAAAACAGACACATAGACCAATGGAACAGAATTGAGAACTCAAAAGTGGACCCAAAAGTGTACAGCCAACTAATCTTTGACAAAGCAGGAAAGAGTATCTAATGGAAAAAAGACAGTCTCTTTAATAGATGGTGCTGGGAGAACTGGGCAGCAACATGCAGAAGAATGAAACTAGATCAATTTCTCACACCATACACAAAAATAAACTCAAAATGGATAAAGGACTTGAACGTGAGACAGGAAACCATCAAAACCCTAGAGGAGAAAGCAGGAAACAACCTCCTTGACCTCCACTGCAGCAATTTCTTGACACATTCCCAAAAGCAAAAGAAGCAAGAGCAAAAATAAACTGTTGGGACCTCATCAAGATTAAAAGCTTCTGGACGGCAAAGGAAACAATCCATAAAACTAATAGGCAACCAATGAAATGGGAAAAGATAGTTGCAAATGACATATCAGATAAAGGGTTAATATCCAAAATCTATAAGGAACTCACCAAACTCCACACTCGAAAAACAAACAACCCAGCGAAGAAATGGGCAGAAGACATGAACAGACACTTCTCCAAAGAGGACATCCAGATGGCTGACAGACACATGAAACGATGCTCAGCATCCCTCCTCATCAGGGAAATACAAATCAAAACCACACTGAGATACCACCTCACGACAGTCAGAGTGGCTAAAATGAGCAAATCAGAGGACTCTAGATGCTGGCGAGGATGTGGAGAAACGGGCACCCTCCTACACTGTTGGTGGGAATGTAAACTGGTACAGCCCCTCTGGAAAACAGTGTGGAGTTTCCTCAGGAAAATAACAATAGAACTCCCCTATGACCCAGCAATAGCACTGCTAGGAATTGACCCAAGGGATACAGGAGTGGTGATGCATAGGGGCACATGCACCCCAATGTTCATAGCAGCACTCTCAACAATAGTCAACACATGGAAAGAGCCTAAGTATCCATCAACGGACGAATGGATCAAGAAGATGTGGTTGATCTATATGATGGACTACTACATGGCAATGAGAAAGAATGAAATCTGGCTATGTGTAGCAACATGGATGGACCTTGAGGGTGTGATGCTGAGCGAAATAAGTCAGGCAGAGAAGGACAAATATCATATGTTTGCACGTATAGGAGGATTAGGAGGAACTTACCGGAGGACCATGGGGGAGAAGAAGGGGGGAATTAGTGGGGGAGAGGGAGAGAGGGAAACCATGAGAGACTCTTGAATGCTGAGAACAAACTGAGGACTGGGGGGGGGGGGGAGGGGGGAGATGTGCATGGAGGAGGGCACTTGTGGGGATGAGCACTGGGTGTTATATGGAAACCAAGTTGACAATAAACTATTTGTAAAAAATTTAAAAAAAAAAAGAAAGATATTATCCTATATTTTATCTTGGTTACTCACCTTAAGGCCTTTAAACCATTTGGATGAGTTGATCTTGTTTTTTGATTTTTGAGGTTTTTTTGGGGAGGGGGTTAGGGAGAGTCTGATTTTGTACGTGATGCAGTATAGGAATATACATCTATTTTTGTGGATTTGGATACCAGGTAGAGTGACCAACTCTCCTCGTTTGCCTGGGTCTCGTTTTCTGGGACATAGGACTTTTTTTTTAAAGCTTTCTTAAAAAATTTTTTTTTTAGGTCTTCATTTTATTTTGAGAGAGAGACAGAGAGAGTAGGAGTGGGGGAGGGGCAGAGAGCGAGGGAGATGCAGAATCTGAAGCAGGCTCCAGGCTCTGAGCTGTCAGCACAGATCCCGACGCGGGGCTCGAACCCACAGGCCATGAGTTCATGACTTGAGCCGAAGACAGATGCTTAACCGACTGAGCCCCCCAGGTGCCCCTATAGGACTTTTCAAAGCTAGAACCAAGAGATCCCAGGGAGCTGGGATAAGCCAGTCACCCCAATACCAAGTATCTTGGCATTTACCGAATAGTTCATTCTCTCGTTTAAAACCACGTTTGTCATATGTTGCCAGTTTCCTGTATTTCTTTTATTGTCTTCCCTTGGTGTGGAAACTATATGTTCTATTTCTGACTAATCAAGGATACCATTCATTTGGGAAGAAAATGTAACTTTTGTCCAAGTTATTTGGTTTGTCTATTATGAACATGAGATTATTTGTTTACAGCCCTGGATTTACACTTTTTAATGCTTACTTATTTATTTCGGGGGAGAGAGAGTACGAGCAGGACACGGGCAGAGAGGAGGGAGAGAGGGAATCCCCAGCAGGCTCCGCACTATCGGCACAGAGCCTGACGTGGTGCTGAAACTCACAAACCGTGAGATCATGACCTGAGCTGAAATTGAAGAGTCGGACGCTTAACCGACTGAGCCACCCAGGCGCCCCTGTATTTATGTTTGTTAAACACACAGTGAAGTATGACATTTTATAGCTGTATTTGATCAGTCTTGTGTCCATCATTGTTATTTGTTTCCCCTGACTACCCTCTGGGTTCCCCTTTTCTTCCTGAAGTATACCCTTTCTTATTTCTTTTAGGGAAGGTCTGAAGGTAGTTAGCTCTCTCGGCCTTTGTATATCTGAAAATGTCTTTGTTACTCACACTCTTCAATTACAGTTTGACTAAGTTTTCCATTAGTTTTCTCCCGTTCTTTGAAGACATTGCTCTATTCTGTTTTTTAAAATCAAAGTTATAATTGGGGCGCCTGGGTGGCTTAGTCGGTTAAGCGTCCGACTTTCGCTTAGGTCATGATCTCATGGTTCGTGGGCTTGAGCCCCGCGTCGGGCTCTGTGCTGACTGCCAGCTCAGAGCCTGGAGCCTGTTTCAGTCTGTGACTCCCTCTCTCTCTGACCCTCCCCTGCTCAGGCTGTCTCTCTCTCTCTCCTAGAAATAAATAAAACATTAAAAAAAATTAAAAAAAATAAAATAAAATCAAAGTTATAATTAACATACTGTGTTATATTAGTTTCAGGTGTACAACTGACAATTCAACACTGTTCCCCATTGCTCTGTTGTCTGCTGTGTGCTACAGTACGTGCCACAGAAGCGTTGGCTAGGACGATGATGTCTACGTACAGCTTTATGATTTATTTGCCGTGGCTGCTGCTAGTAGAAGCACCTGCTGCCTTTACTCCATCAGTCCTTATACTGTTCAGGCCACGGTCTCAGCCTTCCATGTCCCTCAAAGGCAGCAGAGAAGGGAGGGGTGACGGGGTAAATGGGAGTGTCACCCGCACCAGGCTATGTCTGCACATCTCTCGCCCGATCAGCTCTAATTAGCTCACTGAAACTGATTAGCAGAGCGAAAGGCTGGAAGGGGGGCCTCAACGTGGTCCCTTCACCATTGGTGGGTGGCATCCGCCCTGTCTTGGGTGAGTCCTGGATACCCACATGTCGAGGGTGTGCCAATGCATGCCTCTCTGGTTTCCAGCCGAGTCTAGATTCCCCTCGGGGCAAAAGCTTTGCCTTGAATGCCAGACTGCTTGGCTCCTGCCAGCCCCTCCCCCCTACATTCCCACCTGGTCTACAAACCACCCACCCACCACTGTGGTTCCATCTGTCCCTGGATGGTTGTGTTGCTGGCTCCCATCCACCAGATTGGAACTTCCTGGAGGTTATCGCCAGCCCAATTCCGGCAAGGGATCCAACTTTCCTGGACACTGGATCCTCCACTGCCTTCACCCCAATTTTAACGGTCCCGTCACTGTTCCTGATCAGCTACTCTATCACCTGGTCTTCTCCACTGCGGAGTGAGGTCTTGGTCCAACAAAAATTTACAATACCTTAATTTACAGTAATTTAATTGCCTGAAGTCAGGCATGCATTTGGTGGCCACTAAGCACTTTTCATTGTCATGATTTCAGAAATGCCACCTAATGTTCCTATGATTTCTAGGTGTAAATTGCATACACTTCTCCAGAAGTTTAACAGGGACTCAAGTGATCAAGGATATTTTACAGTCAAGTTCTGTTTCTTTCTTTTTAAGCAAAGACACTCTATCTTCCTGTACCAGTAAGTTAGCCTGTATTTTAAAATATTCTCTGTGTTAAGCATAGATTTCGACATTTCTCTTTATTAAAAATTAAAGTTGATAAAGAGAAGGAGCATGCGGTGCCTGGGTGCCTCAGTCAGTTAAGCATCCGACTTCCGCTCAGGTCATGATCTCACGATTCGTGGGTTTTAGTCCCGCATTGGGCTCTGTGCTGACAGCTCAGAGCCTGGAGCTGCTTTAGATTCTGTGCCTCCCTCTCTCTCTGACCCTCCCCTGCTCACGCTGTCTCTCTCTCTCTCTCAGAAATAAATAAAACAGTAAAAAAAAAAAAAAAGAGAGAGAAGCAGTAGAAGATAAAAATCCATGCTCTGCTCAACCTTAACCTTTAGACCCGCCTTGACTTCTAACACTTCTACCAAGCCTTTATCACCAAGTAGAGTGCCCTGAGTTCATTCTTTCTAACCACTGAGTTACTGTTTCTGCCCCTGAATTAATATTTTATTACAACTGCCTTAGACTATTCTTTAGTTTAACACGCTAACCTGATTTCATGGATTTGAATAGAAGTCCCTTAAAAGCTAGAATACGTAGCCCCTTCGTGTGTATGTGTATATATGTGTGTGTGCGTGTATGTGTGTGTGTATACGTGTGTATGTGTGTACGTGTATGTATATGTGTATGTGTGTGTGTGTGTATGTGTCTGTGTGCGCCTGTCTGTGTATGGCTATGTGTCTGTGTGCATGCGTGTGTGCACATGTTTCTCTGTGTGTATGTGTATGTATATGTAGGTGTGTGTGTGTGTGTGTGTGTGTGTGTGTGCGCGCGCGCGCTGTCCTTCACGGATCCCACACCAGCCTCAGGCTTGCCGTCCGAACGCAGCGCGCACAGGGGTCACAGGCTGGCCCTGCTCAGGGGCGCCCCCTCCCGGCCCGGGGCTCACCAGGAGCAGCTGCAGCAGCAGCACCAGCAGAAGCAGCAGGCGTTGGAGCCGCGGGTCCCGGGCGCGGGCTGGCCTGGCGTCGGGCCGGCGGTGTCCTGGGCCGCGGGCGTCTGCCGCTTCCGCATCTCCATCCGCTCGGATCCCATGGGCTGTAACAGCGCAAGGGGGGTGGGGGGGTGCAGTTACCACCACGCACGGCCCCGAGTCCGCCGTCTGGACCGCGGCGGGGACCGCGGGGGGGGCGCAGTGCGACCCTGCGCGCGTCGCGTCTGCTCCTCTGGCAGCGCCGGTCCGCGAATACAGCCGAGACTCATTCCAAGTCCACCGGGCGCCAGGCGCTGCGAACAGGATGATGAATGAGGGTCCCCGCCCCGAGGCCCCCAGGCCGGCCGGGCGAACACTCCCGCCACCCGCATGACGGCGTCGCGGGGAGGACGAGGAGCGCACGGCTCAGCCGGGGCGTTCCGTCGGGCTGGACGGCGGGGGCGCGGGTGCCCGCGAGGCCAGGACACGGAGGGGGGAGTGCGCCAGGCCAGAACGTCAGGTGCCACCACGGCAGGGGGAGCAGATGTCCCAAGAGGGAGCCAGAAGTCCGGGGAGGCCGCCCTGCCCTGAGACCCACTGACAGGTTCAAGTCTAAACCTGCTGCGAAACCCTAAAGGAGTTACCCGCCGCGGGTGTGCGCAAAGCACTTGGACCCTGCGTGCTAATGAGCGCTGCTCACGATTCCCAGGAAGCAAGGGAGGGCGGTGGCCTGTGGCCTGCTCTGACCCAGGCCGGCGTCCACGGGGACAGCCACCTTGGCCCACCTCGGTGGAGACGGAGCCATTGCGAGCAAGGCCATTGCCCCTCAACCTCTCCTCTTCCCGAGGCCCCACAAGAATGGCTGAAGGACACAAACCAAAAAGCAGTGGAAGAATGAGGAACTGCTGAGGGCACTTTTACATTTCATACTATCATTCGATTGTCGGTGAAATAAAAGCAAAAAAATACTGAAGCCACTTTAAAGAACCTTAAATAGGACTTCGGGGTTAAATTCTGGCTGTGTTATTTGTCCCAACACTAGATTTATCTCTTCCTACTACTTCCTATTCTTATATTCTATTGGATTTTGTTTTAATTCTTACAGTTTTAGTCTATGTTTTATATTGGGTAGGTAAAGTTCTCTTCATGAATTACTAAAGAATTGTTTCTGGCTACTCATGTCTGTCTTTTCATCCAGTTCAATTTTGGAATCAGCTTTTCAAGGTCCAGAAATACCCTGTTGGGATTTTGGTCAGGACCACACTGAATGTGTGGACTCCTGTCCACAGGGACCCATCCGAGCAGTCGGCGATGCCCGTGCTGAGGTGGCTCACTTGTTCAGAGGGCAGACACAGAGCCATCTACCCAGCTCAAAGCCACATTGTACGGGCGCCACTGGTAGACAGGCCCCCTCTAATGCCCCTCAGGGGAACCCTGGGCTCCCCCAGGCATCCCATTTTACCATGTCTGCAGCACTGCATTGGAGACAGACTGATGCTGATTTCACTTCATTTAGGACACTGAGATAGTTTGAGCAGGAGATGCCCAGGTAATTATTTTCTTTTGTCTTCTTTTCTTTTCTTTTTTCTTTCTCCCTTCCTCCCTCCCTTTCTCTTTTCCTTTTTTAAATTAGGCTCCGCGCCCAGGGCAGAGCCAAACTCGGAGGGCTTGAACTCCCAACCCTGAAGTCAAGACCTGAGCTGAGATCAAGAGCTCAGGAGTTTGGTCAAGAGTTGGTCGCTCTACCGAAGGAGCCCCCCAGGCGGCCTGGTAATTGTTGTTTTCTAAGAGATACTGATACAACTTGCCTCGTTTAAAAAAAAAAAAAAAAAAAAAAAAGGAAAGAAATCCCAGTAGCTTCCCAGAAGGAAAGCTTATGACACGGTAATGTCAACAGGTTTTTAGGGACTGAATTTCCAACATCTCTGCCACACTGGGTCTTCCCAATCAGTACCTGAAATATTTGTTCATTTAGATCCTCTCTTCTGTGTATTTTAAAGGCCTTCCTCCAAAAGGTCTTGCAGATTTTTGAGAGGTTCATTTTGAGTATGCTATAGATTAGTTTTTGCTGCTGTTGTAAAGAGCATGCTTCTAGTTATTTTGGTGTGTAGGAAGGCAAAGTGGTCTCTGCCTGCCTTGTGCTGAATTCTCTTATGAGTTCTAGTAGTCTTTCTACGGGTTCTCTTGGGTTTTCTAGTTGGATGATTATACTGCCTATAGTCACACTTGTCTGTTTACTTTCTGGACCTTTCCAAGTACAAGCACCCTTCCTCTCTTACTGGTCTTATTTCACTGGCCAGGAAGTTCCATAATTGTTGAAAGTAGCAGTATTATTAGGCACCTTTGTCTTTTTTAATGATAGCACTGTGTCCCCATGTGTGATGTGTGCTGGAGGTCTGTGGGAGAGGAGAACGTCAAGGATTGAAGCAAAGTTCCTTCTGTTACTTACATAGTACAAAACACGTTGTGCCTGCCTATCTTATTAGTTAGCATGTTTCATTTGTTTGTACACGCCTCATTTTTTTGTAAATTTCTGGAAGGCTTTTAATGATTTAGTGAGCACACTCTGAGAGTACATTGTATGGTTGCCCATGGTGAAATATAGCCTTTAGAAATCAAAGGCAAATGTCATCAAAATCTGTTAAATGTTTTTGAAAACAGCTTTATTGACGTGTAACAGACATACAGTTTACACGGGTTTAAAGGGAAGAATTTGGGAAGTTTTGGCAAGTACATACCCGCAAAACCACCACCAGTCAAGCCCATGTTATCAGCTGCAACCTTCCTCACACCCCCTGGGCGTCCCTCCCTCCTGCTCCTGACCATCACTCATCTCTCCCACCATATGCCAATTGGCATCTTTAAAGAATTTCATGCAAATGGAATATTTTTTGTCCGGTTTCTTTCTTAGTGTAACTGTTTTGTGATGGTTATGTGTATCATTCATTCCTTTTTAAAAAATTTCTGAGCGGTATTTCATTGTCTAGATGTACAATTTGCTTATCCATGTATCTACTCTGGACTTTTGACAGTTCCTAAAAGGATTATATATATAATATATACATACATATATGTGTATATATATATATGAGACATTGTCTTCTTTTTAAAAAATATTTTTAGTACTTATTATTTTGTTTTTTGGGGGGAAGGGGAGGGCAGACAGACAGGAAGACACAGATCAGAGGCAGGCTCCAGGCTCTGAGCTGTCAGCACAGAGCCTGGCGTGGGGCTCAAACTCATGCACTGTGAGATCATGACCTGAGCCAAAGTGGGACGCTCAACCACCTGAGCCACCCAGGCGCCCGAAGATGTTGTCTTCTTTTGAACATAGAAGTCTTTCATCAGACAAGATGAGGGGTACATGTTGCTGAGATTATATTAAAATTTACAGCACAGTGTACAGTTATAACGTGTTTCTACTCTGGTCTCCCATATTGAGTAATGCTTGATGATTAGTTCTTTTTTAGTATTTCTATTGGCCTAGTCATGCTGGATAACCGTTTCCCTAACTTAGAATTCCTTTCTCTTCTCAGTGTTCCATGTTTCAATTCATCTTTGTAGCTTCAACTTGGTCTCATAATATATTTAATTTTTCCTCTGTTTAACATTAGGATTTCTGGTATGGTTTCCTGGAAACATGACATGTGGTTCAGTAATTTTGACATCTTGAATCACTTAAAGCTTTGGCTAAACAAGAAATATATGCTAGTCCTGTAAAGTGTACAAACAACCTATCCCCTTTCAGCTCCAAAATTTCTAGATGAATAGCTATGGTTTTCACTCGATTACTAGATGCTGGGGCGTTGGGTGGAGGGAGCTGTTAGCCTTGAGAATTTATGCCCTGGCTAAACCAGGCTGGAATACGAGAGCGTGAGGAAAAGCAAACAGGGCTGAATATTAAAGATCAGCAACATGCTGATAATTCTCGAAGCTGTGTCATTAACACATGAACTGTGTGAGACCTTCCTCTCGACATTTCTGTTATGCTTGAAAGTTTTCCTTAATAAAGCAATTATTCAAATTTAAACTGTTGAGTTGTACCACACAACTGTATTGAGAATATGAATCTATTAAGAACATGAATTTCCTGCTCTGAATAGTTAATGAAGTAAATTAGTGAATTTCTTAGTTTTGAATCACCTTTCCCTTACTAAGTAAACTCTTCTTGGGGCTAAAAGATGGTTATTCTTTTATTATACTGTTGAAATGGTTTAGGTAATATTTTATAAGGGATTTAAAAACCTATCTGTCTGTCTATCTGTATTAGGAAATTATTTTCATCCTGAATTCATCAGAATTTTCCCGTAAAATTACTGGAATCTTTTAAGAGTGCCTTGTTGACTATGCTTTTAATTTTTTCTTTGACTTCTGTTCTTTTTCAGTTTCTTTCTTTGAGTCATTATGGTATTTTAAATTTTCTTTAAAAAAATCCATCCATTTCATCTAGCTTATGAATTTTTACTGAAACTCATTATTATTAGTCATCTTATAATTGTCAGAATGAGATGCTTTAAATTACTGCCTGTTTGTTTAAAAGACATATGTGTAGTCGCTTATTGGGAGAGTCCCATAGTTTGTGTCACTAAATCTCCTTAGAGACTTTGTTTTTCAGTGTTATGGCTAATTAATATGAAGCCTAAAAACATGAATTAAATGAATTCTACCTATTTATGAGATTTTTTAAGAAGTTTTTTTAAAATTTATTTTTGACAGATAGAGAGAGAGAGAAAGAGAGAGCACGAGCTAGGGAGGGGCAGAGAGAGAGAGGGAGACACAGAATCCAAAGCAGGCTCCTAGCTCTGAGCTGTCAGCACAGAGCCCAACACAGGGCTCGAACTCAAACTGTGAGATCATGACCAGGGCTGGTGTCAGATGCCTAACCAACGGAGCCCCTATTTGCAAGATTTTTAAAATATGCCACTGGTATGTATGGGCTCAGCTAGTCTTTCAGACAATGGCATATGAGAACATATGATCCGATCAGCCAAACTAGCTTCATGGATCTTTCTTCTTTTGCCTTCATCATATTTGTGGCAAAAATCTGTACAAATTTCATTTCCATTTATTCTTTCTAAATAACACGGAATCAGTGTTTCTTCATCACTGCTACTCTCTTCCTCTT